ATAATCCTGTGATGGGTTTAGGATCGAGGGTCTGGCACGCGCAAGGGGGACCAACAAGGAGAACTCATGTTTCTTTATAGAACCCAAACCATGTCGCTAGGAGAATTAAAGCCTACTCCTAAACCTCATGTAAACCCTAGGATGACGTTGCTTTATTTCCTGCTTTATTTTACTATTCAAAGCATGTGAACTAGAGATATATAGGTTAGGATTTTATTTCTGACAAAAAGGATACGGGATTAGAAATCATGATCGGGTATGAACGAAAGCATGTCGAGTAGATATCATGCGGGGTAGGAATTGTTATGATTTTCACTGTAATTATTAATTTATCATACTAAAGTATTTTCTCTTGTTTTTCTTTTTTCAATTTTTAGTGAAGTTGCATGATTTGAGTATTTCGAAATTGGTGCAAGTATACACGTCGCAAGTTATAGTATATAATAAATATTGTCTCCTCAGGGATTGGTGTAACTCTGTGTTCTAACTCATTACACTATAAAAAAAGAATAAATTGGTGATAATAAAATTTGAATTAATGAGTAAAATAAATATGCAAGTAAATAAAAAAGATTGTGATCGAATAAGAGAGCATGTCGGGTTATCGTAAATTGTGGTGTGATGATTGTATGAATAGTCTGGGTAATTGATTGTCGTGACAATAATTCAATTGTCGTAGCAACTCGGTTCCTCCCTTCAATGCTCAGCAAATCGTTCTTCAGTGCCTTCTTGTTATCCATAACCCGAAGAACTGATCAGTTGTGCCTGCCTTAGTGATACATCCTTGCATTAACCATGGGTGAACAACAATCGATCTTGCGCTCCTTTTAGCAGTTGAAATCTGAATCTTATCCCTAACATAGATTAACCTTCACGAACGTTTGTTAGAATGAAGATCATGTTCATTTGTTTTGTGAATCTAACTCTCCCGATATTAGATAAATGGATAATTCTGGAGATCCTTTCCCAATTCACTCGAAATCAAATTAAGAACAAAAAATTAACAAACTTTGAATTTAAACCGCATTCAAAGAACTTAAACAAATCCAAATGCTTTCACAACCATAAAAACCCAATAACCCAAGCCAATTTATTTTAGTTCATGACAGGGTGTAGAAGAAAAATACAAGATAAAAGATTCCTAAACATAAATTGAAAAGAAATAAGTAATAATAAATACGCACGACCCTTAGTTTTTCTCTCTCGTCGATTCCCTTTCTTGTGATTTTGGTTCTTGATTTATAGATGAATATTAGCTTCTATTGCAACAAAAATTCCTGCTCTGCGCAAATCCTAATCTGCACCGATATCCCACACCAACAGTATCATTTTCAAAAAAACCAACCATAATGTTATATCAAACTTAACGGTGAAAGAAACTATGAAATCATTCATGAATAAATAATAATGCAACTAAACCGAACCTAAATCTAACAATAATTATGGGTAAATGGGTAGAAAATATAGTACTTTTATACACTTAACACGCCCCAAACTCAAACTATTGCTTGACCTCAAGAAATGCATGACATCCACTTTCTCATAGCCATTAGACAACATCACTCTTACACTTGCTTTGCATTTGTTACCTTAGAACCTTAGCAATTTTCTTCCAATCACCTTCAAACCCTAAGACAATAAGAAATTAACCTAATTCAATCTATGATGCTCGTGTAAGTGTGTTCTTTTAGTCGAGAAGTTCACCACCATGGGTATTTGCAGAGAATATCATAATTATCAAAGTAATTAATAAAGAAAAATATGTAACAACAATGACTATTTAGCTTAACTAGAGCTTCGGCTTATCACAACTACATGCGAGTACTTGAGTAGTAAGATGATGTCAACAACTAACCCTCTAGCCTTTTAGGTAGAGTTATCCCGTGAAGACTTTCATTCAGTCATACTATTCACGATTATCTTTCCTACTTAGTATTCATTAAGCGCACCGAACTTGTTTTAGCAGCGGAGTGTTCTAGAGCTAAAAAGTTATCGTGACAATTTATTCGGCTAGATCCAGTTGGACACCTCTAGCAATTCACATATAACTTAGACAATAACATACATGATAATTAAGCATTCTCCAAAATACCCACAAGTTGATCAAACACGACATTCAATAAATAGTTATAACATCACAAGAATCATTAAGGTAATCTCAATTTATTTCTAGGTCCTAATATTCTCAACATTAAAATACTTTTGGCAATTATCTCATCATAAGTAAGTACAAAGTCTCGGTAATTATTTGTCTGTTTAATTGTTATGAAAAGTAAATGTCATGGAAAGCTTGAATGAATAACACAAATAATGCAAACACAAAACACAACATAATAAGTGCAATATGACAAAACGAACAACACCCCCAAACTCAAGAGAAGCATTATCCTCAATGCATAAAAAAAGAATGGGTTAGCCAGAAAGGTTGTCACGTTGATTGATAAGTGCCCTTCAAGCCGTTTGTTTGATTTTCTTGTTGGCTCACGGTAGTGGAAGCTTTTCATTTGACTAGTGTGAAATCATTCTTCGATGATTGGAAGTGTTCAAATAATGTGTGCGGAAAAGGAGATAAGAGTGAAACAAGGGAAATAATTTGGGATGGACTCCCTCCTTGAATCAACTCCTCATTTTCTTAACTCTTATACTAAACTTTAAACAAAATAAAAGATAAATATTAAATAAAAAGAGAAACTAACTTAGTATATAAAGACTAAAATAAATAAGAGTGCAAATTAAACGTTAAAAATAAAATCCGAATAAATAAAAAATAAAAATAAAAAAGAATGAAAAAATTCAACAATAAAAACATTGAAGGAGAGCATATTCATGCTTATTCGAGAGTAACCACTTTCTTGTCGTGCTCAACATGGTCACCGGTGTAGTTCTTAAATTATTGACCATTGAATTTAAACCCATGTCCGTAAATGGTGGACTTGTTTATTACAGAACCATGGGAGAAAAGTTTCACTACCTCAAACGGCCTAAACCACCTCGATTTCAGTTTTCCCATAAAAAAATTTAACCGAGAATTGAAGAGAAGTATTAATTGCCCTGGTAATGGTTTCAATTATAACATGGGAGGTTGATTAATAGAATATTTCTCTAGTTTACCTTCCTTACCTGAATAGTCTAATTATTTGAAATATTTACTCGGTCGACTTACTATCCAGTGAGATTCATCTTGCTCTCCATTATATGTTTCTTCATTTTCCTCCAATTCGGCAGCACGATTGCCATGATATTTCTCATATACTTAAAAATTGAATTTGGTGGTGGCGAGAATGGCTTGGTATTCTTTTGGACTGTCAAAATGCTTTAAGGTTGGAAAAACAATCAGTTTGACTTGCTAGTCATTTACTCTTATAATGAGTTCTCCCCTTTCGACATCAATTAAGGTTATTCCCATTGCTAGGAATGATTTTCCAAGGATAATAGGTGCAAAATCATCTGGTTCACAATACAGAACAATGAAGTCAGTGGGAAAAATAAATTTATCAACTCTTACTAGTATATCTTCAATTTTTCTCTCTGGTTGCATATAGGATTTGTCTACAAGCTGTAACATAACTGTCATAGGTCTCGCCTTCTCGATACCCTATCTTTGAAACACAAATTTAGGCATAAGGTTTATTCTCAGTTCAAGACCGCATAACACCTTACCAACGTAGCGCTTTTCGATTAAACATTATATTGTGAAACTGCCAGGGTCTTTTATTTTGGGTCATATTTGGTTGTGCAACATGAACATGCATCTCTATGTAAAATCAACTATTTCAAATTTTCCTAGCCTCGTTCTCTTAGAGACAACATCCTTGAGAAACTTATCATAGTTCTACATTTACTCGATCACCTCAACCAACAACAAGTTGATGCGAACTTGCTTCAAGATGTCCAAGAATTTTTTGAACTGATATTATTATTTCTGTCTTTTCAGTCTCCGAGGGAATGGTGGTGGTATTCAAATCTCCTCAATCTTTCTATCTATTTGGAATTTGATTGATGGACTTGTTGATGTATCTAGAATTGTTGAGGCATGTGGACTTGCCCTAGAATCCTTCGATTTATCAATATCGACTGAGGCAATGTTGTTGGATGTAATTGTTTGGATAGAGATCTATTTTTCTTGTTGAGTTCTCCTCATTGGCTGTGCAGGTGTTTCAGTTAGCTTTTATCCACTCCGGATGATGCATTACTTGTGGCCTACTCTCTTTACGACCTCAATATCACCGGTTACACCGCCTAGTGGTCTTGTGTTCAAATTCTGGGCATGCTGTCCAACTTGTGTCTCTAAGGATTTCAACACTACCTCCTGGTTCTGCAGTCTCATCTCAGTCTTATTAATGAAAGCGTCAGTCCTTTTCATGAATACTATTCTCAACCATGTAAGATTCAATTTTTAACATACAAGATTTGAGAGTATTTTCCAAAGAACTAGACGTTGTTAATTGTTGTTTCGATATATTGACTTGGCATATTCTACTGGAATCCCAATGCTTGTGAATTCTGATTGCTCTGATTGAGGTCATTGTTTGGGTTACTCCATAAGAATTCAGGGTGCTCCCTCCAAGCTAGATTGTACGTGTTGGATATCACATTGTTGTTCAGGTTATAGTTTCTAACATAGAATCTAGATTATGAGTTTTGTGGACACTCAAAAGAATCATGGTTATCATTACAAAAATTGCTAAAAGAATTTACCACCTTGATCTCATATAGATTGTTTGGTCACTACAAATTCTTAACCAAGTTGGTTGAGGTAGGAAACTGTGCAGAGATAGTGTCTGTTGAATCAAGCTCATTTATCGTGGCATTACGTTGACTCCTCATCTTTTTGTATTTGGGAATCGATAATCATTATTGGCAAGAAAATTCAAAATCTCCATTGCTTCCTCCTATGACTTGAAGAGGAGTATGCCAGTTGCCGAAGCATCTAGCATCATCCTCGTAGGCGTATTCACTGATTTGTAGAACATTGTCACTTGCATCCATACTAGGAATCCATGTATGAGATATTTATATAAAAGCTCCTTATGTCGCTCTCAAGCCTCGTAAATGGATTCATCATCTTCCTGCTGAAAAGAAGTAATATCGTTACGCAATTTATCAGTCATATTCTAGAACTAAATCTCGCAAGGAAATCACAACATAAGTCTGTATAAGATTCTAAAGATCCGAATATGATACTATTCCACCATAATTTTACCCTTTCCCTTAGTGAATAGGGGAATAATTTCAGCCTTAGGACATCATCATGGACTCCTTGTTGCTTGAATGAATGATGAGTGTTCAGAATCGTTAATCTTTGCTTGTTATTTCTTTAGTTTTGAGGAATTATTACTGCTAAATTGGTCATGTTATGTTTGTTTTCGTGCAGGTCCTTACTTTCCAAAATTAGTGACAAAACGGGCGCATTCTGCATTTTTTTATTATTTGGTCACGGCTGGAGACATGAGCACGACTCTGGGCATGATGCGGTCTGACGTGGCACTTTCTAGAAGGTTTAATCAGTGACGACTTCTAGAAAGACTTTCTCCACACACCTTCTGGAAGATTGACGAGCAGAGTTGCATTAGGAGACTAGTTTAAGTTTGAATTTAAATTAAAAAAATAACTATCTTAAGGATTATTTTATTTGTTTTCTTTGTTTATCCTTTAGGCTTTGAGAGGCTATAAATACCCACTTAGGGTAAGCCTAAACTCATCATTCAGATTACATTCTTCTTTTCTCTTTAGTTTTTATAAAAGTTTTCTCTTTTTACTTTTCAAGTTCTTTTCATTTTTCTTTTATTTTTAAAGCTTTGTTTTCAAAATGCTAAGTATGACTTTTTTCATGCTTAGCTAAACTTTTCATAAGCCGAGAGCTATTGCGATGACTCAATTCCATCAGGAGAATTGAAAAAGACCCTTAATATCTTTGGAATATCACTCTTAATCTCTGTGTTTATTTTTCAAAATCAAAACAGTTTTCAAAATCAAAGATTGACTTTGGTCAAGAGGTTGTTGCGATTAAATATGTGGGAGGAAGATTCAGCTTATAGAAAGCAGTTCGACTTCCTGGGAACACACTTGGCGAGATAGCTTTGCCAAGAGGGAATTGAGATCGAAATTGACGGTTATCGAAGCAACAATCTGATTCGGACGCCACGAACTTAAACGGTAATTGATCTACGACAATTGATGTTGATAGAATCAATTACCGAAGCTGGAATCAAAAATTGCCTTGGGTATTCGGTATACAAGATAGAGTCACGGGGATATCCCTTGTAGACAAAGTAACCGACGTGAATCCCGAAGAGAAAATCTTATTCAATGATCTAAAGGAAATTGAGTCAAAGCGAAGCTTGAGGCTACTTTTACCGTATTTATTCACAATCTTCATCTTCTTATTTTTACTTTAATTGGTTTTACTTATTTAATTGCTTTTATTATTTTCTTACCAAAATTCTTCCAATTTTTACTGTTTAACGCCTAGCATAAATAAATCAGACAGAAATTTATAATTTTTTAAGTCCCTGTGGAATCGACCATTACTTCTCTTTACTACGTATTTCCTTTATTTATTGATTGAGAATAAGAAATTTATTTTGACATCCAAAACGACAGTTGTCAAATTGGCGCCGTTGCCGGGGACTTCGCCAAAGTTACTAATTTTTGTTTGCTTTTGATTTATGACCAGGTCTAATCCGGGAGCATTAGTGGAGTAAGACCCGGAGATTGAAGCCAAAGCTAGGAGACTCCACACACAAACACTTCGGGAAAAAAGGAGACAACAAACAAATCCAGAAGAAGATTCGAATTCAGGTAATATAAATCCGATGGCCGATCTTACTATCCGAGAGTTAGCCGCGACTCCTACTGAGCAAGGGCCTATGTGCATTGATTTTCCCCAAGGCGAAACTCCATACCAGTTGAAAATCGGCCTTATTCATCTCCTCCCTACATTCCACAGATTGCTAAACGAGGATCCACACAAACATCTCAAGGAATTTCATATGGTCTGCTCTAGCATGAGACCACAGGGAGTAACCGAGGACCAAATAAAACTTAGATCTTTTCCTTTTTCCTTAGCCGATTCGGCTAAGGAGTGATTATTTTATCTTCTTCTAATTCTGTTACTACATGGGCTCAAATGACTCGTCTTTTTCTTGACAGGTTTTTTCCTGCGGCGAAAGTAAGTGAACTATAAAGGATAATACTTGGAATCAAACAGCTTGATGGAGAGTCACTTTACGACTACTGGGAGCGGTTTAAGAAGTTATGTTCTAGTTGCCCACAACATGGGTTAACTGAACAAACACTCCTTCAATACTTTTATGAAGGATTATCTCCTTTAGAAATGAAGATGATCGATGCTGCTAGCGGCGGAGCCTTGGTGAATATGACTCCTACTGAGGCTACAGACTTAATATCGACGATGGCTGTAAATGCCCAACAATTTCGCACAAACAATGAACCTTCTCGAAGGGTTCATGAGATAAGTTCATCTTCCTTAGAAAATAAAATAGACAAGTTAATTGAAGTCGTAAACTCTCTTGTTGCAGGAAAGAAAAGAAAAAACCGATTATGTGGAATATGTGCATTACCTGATCATTCAACAGACGGTTGTACACTGATTTAAGACGACGTAGCAGCTCAAGTCAACGCAGTCAGAAACTTTCCGGGACCTCCCCAAAGAGTTTATAATCCTTATGGTAATACATACCCAGGATGGAGGGATCATCCGAACTTCAGTTATGCTCAGAACCCGAGACCGAATCAAGGCTATCAAGCGAGACCTCCACCACCACAACAACCGTAGAAGTCATCATTAGAATCGATTATCGAGAGGTTAGCACTTTCTCAGGAAAAATTCCAGACTCGAACTGAAGCCCACTTCCAAGAGATGGACAAACAGATAAGCCAACTGACTCAAGCCGTAGGGATATTAGAGTCACAAAGGAGGCTATCATAACAAACTAAGCCGAATCCAATAGAGAATGTTAACGACATCACCCTCCGAAGTAGTACAATTGTTGAACAACCAGACCCAAAGGAAGTAAGCGTAAGATCCAAGAAGAAACTTCGAACTCCAAAAGGAAAGAAGAAGAAGTTGACGTAGGATCCCAGAAATAGAATAATGAAGAATAAATGGATGATCCGACACCATCTCCCTATGACGTGCCACCACATTTTCCATAAAGGTTAGTTAAAAAGGGTAAAAAAAACCGTGGAAAAGGAAATATTAGACACACTTCGGAAGGTGGAAATTAATATACCTCTTCTTGAGGTTATCCAGAAAGTTCTAAGATATTGTCAGTTTTTAAAGGATCTCTGTACGACTAAAAGGAAGCTTACCGGGGTCGAGAAAGTTGATTTAGGTGCGAATGTCTCAGCAGTTTTCCAACGACCGCTTCCACCGAAATATAAAGACCAAGGTATGTTTTCAATATCTTGTAAAATTGGTAAGATTAAAATCAAGCGAGCTATGTGCGATCTAGGTGCCTCTATCAACTTAATGCCTCTCTCTGTTTATAATTTAATTTCCACCGAGCCTTTGAAAGAGACGAGAGTTACACTTCAGTTAGCCGACAAATCAATTATTTATCATGAAGGACTGATAGAAAATGTTCTAGTAGAGGTAAAAGAATTAATTTTCACTGCTGATTTTTATGTGATTAATATGTAAAATGATCGTAGCAAAATTAGTTCTAAAATCCTCCTCGGTCGTCCCTTTCTGAGCATGGCAAAAGCAAAAATTGACGTTCGAAGCGGCATTCTTACTATGGAGCTCGACGGTGAGATCTTAAAATTTGATGTTTATAAAGCAATGAGATATCCGGATAGTGTGCACAGTATTAATTTTGTTGGCATTATTGAACTTGTTGATGATGAATCTAACTTTGTTGATGATTTATTCCAGAAATCAGATGATAAAAAAGATGACATAAGGGAGTTGGAAAATATTTCAGTTGTCGATTCAGATTTGATCTTAACTCCTTTAAGAACTAAAGATTTACTTTCTCTTTTGCAGGTACCAAAAATTAAGTCGAAACCATCGAGAAATCGTTTGAAGAAATCAATTTTTGGTAAATTTTTTTTTTGATGGCCATTCTTTTGGACAAGATTTTAAAATTGAGAAATATCCGAAGAAATCTTTGTAAGAATTTTCAAATTTCTCATAAGGAATTTCTTAGTTGGAAAAAGCGAATGAAGTGGAAGTGTTTGTCACGAAACTTGTAGTTTGAACCAGGTCGTCGAGCTAACGACGTTAAACAAAAGAGCTTCATGGGAGGAAACCCATTGTTTTTAATTCCGTTACTTTTATTTTTATTTAATTTTTTTATTTCGATTGAGCATGTTTACTTTAATTTTTATTTTTATTTTTCCGGAACCAAATATTTTTATTCAAACTTAAACGACGATGAATTGCGAAATTTCCATTCGAACAATGCCAAATTCGGAACCTACAGTGTGGTACATGATCGAACAGAGAAAAAAAGAGAGAATGAAAAGCCTGTGCGCACCGTTTCATTAACGACACACGTTAGCAGAACCCAAGGGGGGCTTGGAGCACATTAGCGAGCCCAAATATCCCCCCCAAGTTTGATTCTTCTGCCGCCCACCTTATCCCCTTAACTTTTTTTTTGATATTTTATAGACCCCACCCTATCACCATTTGTCTATCTTTTTCAAATTTCAACACACTTTATCATTAAAAAACAAACCCATTTGACTCGTATTCAAACTCTCCTCCCCTCCCACGCACGGTAGTACCAGATTAAACCAAATTCAAGAAAAATTCTTCCCTTCATCTTCTCCATAACAGAACTCTCCTCCCCTCCCAACACACGAACCCATCACCCCTTTTTCTCGTCACAGCCGACGATATCATCAAACCCTAACTTCTTTGCTAACGAGTTTCCATACCATCCGCTCCTCTCTACTCCACGATGGTGCGCACACGAAACTGACTCGACAACGCCAACGCTCCTCCACCCTGGACCGAGCACTGCTCTTGTCGTCTCCGTCATTCTAGTCCATGCCAACTGTAGCCACCTCTTCCTCTCGATCACGCCTATTGGGCTTCCCCTCATGTTCGATGAATCGGGCAGCATCCGAAAAT